ACAAATGAATCAGCTAGAAGTTAAAACAAGTAGCCAGCAGCTGATTCTCCATGGTTTCCAATCACAAGCACTTAGGAAAAAAACTTATCCTCTCCTCTCCCTCACCAACATTTACTGAAGAATTAAAGCCTATCAGTATAAAAGATTCATTAAGATTTACAAAAAAGCCTAACAGGTAAACTACTAAATTGATCTTGTCGGGGAAATAAGGCCTGTAAGCAGAGCCCATCGATCAAATTTACATATAAACCCTCTACCAGGGATAAGTTAAAACTTTGACACTGTCAATTCACACAACTGGAATGCAAGAATGGAAAATGGTGAGCACACCAACAAAACTGGTTTGACTTAATAATTATAATTCTCAAATATTAAAAAAAATAAAGTATCGGCTGCTTAAGGCTATACAGATATACACACACCCAAACACATTCTTTACCAGCATTCAGTATTTTAAATAATATAAAAGTATAATTTATCCTTGATTCTGTAAATATAAAACTCCTATTAATAGCGCTGAGAGCTTTGATCTTTCAATATAGGTTTGTAGCTTAACTTATGAATTAGTTTCAATTGACACACTAAACATGACTTTAAAAATACAAAACTCAAACTTTATAACATCATAAACACTCAACCTAGTTTACAAATTTAATTCTATGAAATTTAATTATTTTTAGGCCTGATATTTTATAAGAGGCAGAAGCCTAGAGTTATCAATAACCTACTAAAATAAGCATAAATGTGAAACTAAGAACAAAAGTGTATTTACCACAATTATTCCCAACAACGTTTGAGAGATTTCAAGTGCGCCTCTTACCACAATAGCATGAGGAGAATGCACTAAAGGCTTTAGTTCATTCAGGTCATTTTCTGCCTGCAAAAATTGGTATAAGAGAAAAACAGAAATGTCACAAAATGCACATGAAAAATATAATTTTAGCAGCAGTCACACAGCTCTATATGCCCTACTTTACCTTATCCCAGTCTCCTTCCATGACATGATTTCGGAATTTGGTAGCAGAAGGATGTTCTAAACGACATCCTGACTCTTGCATGAGGAGATCAACAGTCTGGCTGCAGGAGAGATACAGTGTAAAAAAGACCTGACCAACTTTAGGGATTACTCTTCCAAATAAACTAATGTTTATGAAAACAGTTGCAAAAGTTTTTAAGCTAACCTCATGATGAAGGAAAAAGAAATAAATAGCTTTAATGTGCTTGACTAAACAAACTTGATTTTAAACTGTCATCTTCATTTATATCCAGTTGAGTTAAAAACCTTCTTGAAAATCGAATCGAAATAAATTCTTTCTACTTTTGCCATTTAATGCCTCAGAAGTTTAATGAAGTATAGAATTTCTAAAAATATGTTGGAACCAACGGGTTAAATACATGATCAACCAGGATCTACATACTAACCATGTTACATTTCGAAAGATAATGTTAGCTCCATACAAGGTAATAGAGATGACCTGTGTTAGGGAAGAGCCTTATATCCAGATATCATGTTTGCATAGAAATTCTACTAGGTCAGTCTTTAAAATTAAAATAAATCCGGCATCAAAAATCATTCTCTTTCTCTCTATACTAAAAATAGCAAATTTACTATGGTGTAGGCTCCAAACAGTCACGAGTTATCTCCTCCTGCTGCTGTCAGCTTGCTTCTTGTCTCAGTAGTATGCTGTTAGCATTTACAAAACCTGTTTTCCTACGAATCACTTTTCCTTCAGGCAAAAAAGTGAAATAAATCTTCCTATGGTATATTTCTCTTTGAGCGCTTAAGAGACTCATGAAATGGAGTTTCTTCCATCAGATATTTTGATATTTAAGAATCTTCCTTTATCTGTTTTACATATGTTTGTTTCAATGCTCTTTCTTATTCAGTCCCATTTATTTTTCAGTTAAATAGTGCAATCATCTGCCTGAGAATCAAAATACTTATGCCACTTAAAAAAAAAAGTGCTCTCCCCTGCCCCCTCCCCAGGACAAGTCTGTAAATCCAAAACTACACATTGGCTAGCCTAAGAGCTTATTTTTAATCTATGCTGTGAAGCTAGACAAACGGACTGTTCCATGTTTTTCCCCTTAGTCTGATCCTGGTTCGGCTTCTCCATCGGACTCCACGGCACTCCCTTCAAACCCACCTTCTACCTCCCTAGTTTTTCTTTGTGTGTACACAAAACGGTGGTTTGGGGCCAAGGTCGTGTTCTACTTCACCCTATTTTAGGTACACAAGGCCATCTAAACTGTATTGGAAAATAAATGATTCACCAGATCAGATGTCCCTTTTTTAGAGGCAATCATCTCGGTATTAAACCGGGATTTCAACCGAGTTAGTAGTAGGCCTCTTGTATATACGTAAGGGCCTTTAAATGGCATCGACATGGTATCTTCCTTCATTATTCCCATCAGATTTATTCAAACACCTCCTTCCAAATGATCCCAGCCCCTCAGTTCCCATAAACACTTGTAGGTGATTGTCTTCCCTGATTGGTAGTTTGCCTGAGTTGTCTGTCATGGCTGGGGGTGGGGAGGTGTCCCACAAAGATGCCTCTGAGATATACTTGAAAAACAAATCCTCCAAGGTTCATTATTTCCACCAGCTCTAATCCACCCCTCCCCCAGCACATACAGAGACACACTCCAGCATCTGTCTTTATTGACAGACAATTAAGCTCTGAAGGTGTGTGGGGAGGGGGAGATCTTTTAGTTTCCACTCCCCAACCCCCCAAACCGCCGGTCTCATCTCACGATTTGTCAGACTGACTGATTTTCCCTTATTTCCCTTTCGGTCAGCTCCTCCTCCCGGTTAGGCCAGTTCGAACTGCGTCCTCTGTCCTGGGCACTGCGTGCCCAGCAGTCATTCTCTCGTTGCTCTTTGCAGCCCCCTCCCCGCTGCAGCCCCCGTCCCTCGGTCCGTCCACACCAGCTGCCTGTAAAGGACACTTACTTGAGCCCTAAGCCATTCAAGTGCTGTCCTATTAGCCTAATGACGTCCTCATCCGACTGGGAGAGCCGCTTCTTCTTCTTGAGGCTGCTGCCCAGTTCTGGGGTGGCCAAGGAAGAGGAGGCGGCGGTGGTGGCGGAGGCAGCTGCGACGGTGGCAGAGGCGGCGGCCCCGCCGGGGACCCCGTTATTGACATTCAGGCTGTTGCTATTGTTGCTGGCGGCGGAGGGGGCGGAAGGCAGGAGCCCATTGGCGTGGGCCAGGTCCCCCGCGGACGACGACGAGGGGGACGACTCCCCGTTCTGCGCCGACAGGCAGGCGAGTTCCTGGGCTGTCCCTGG